GTAACTATCTTATCTCATGGGGCTATAATGGGATTGAAAGAAATGGTTCCTGTGAAGTTCTATGTATGTGTGGTAGGTAGCCTCCATAATGGCCCCAGTGAGCCTCACTTCTTGGTATTCATATCCTCACATAGTGCTGATAGGTTAAACTCTAGGATATGGTAGATATGACAGGGTATGCCTTCTGAAACTAGATCATAAAAGACATAGTGTCTTCCATCTTGCTTTCTTGATCACTCACTCAGGAGGAAGGCAGAAGACACTAACTAGCCTTTAAGAAGCCCATGTGGGAACCAGCACCTCCAGCCAATAGCCACATGAGCGCACCATCTTGGAAATGAAGCCACCAGCCTAGTCAGGCCTTCAGATGAGCAAATCCCTGGCCAATACCTAACTGTAACCTCATGAGAGACCCTGAGCTGGAAGTACACAGCTGAGCCACTCTTGAATTTCTGATCCATAGAATCCATGAGGTAATGACTGTTTGTTGTTTGAAGCTGAAAATCCTTGGGGTAATTTGTTATGTGCCAATAGATAACTAGTATAGTATAAAGGTACTCAATAAATATTATTGCAGTCTCGTCAATTAGGTTAGATTTCAGTTTTTTTCTGGTCTCGTTTAGATGTGGGAGAAGTGCCAAGATAGTCAGGGACACCTGATAAACCATTTTAGTGTGGGACATTTCTCTAAGTGGCTGATTTGTCTTTCAGTATGCAGTGGTGATTTTCATTAGCTTCACTTATGATATCTTACTATAATGATTTGAATACTAGCTACACCATTTATTTATGCCAGACAGATTGGTTTGGTGGTTTTAGGAGCAAAACAACTTTTAGAATGAATGTAAAAGAAGGCAGAAGTAGAGCATTAAATGCAAAGTGTGCATGAGCCCTTTGTCAGTTGCATGTTCTGAGGTCTAGTTCCCAAAAGGCATCACGTTTTTGAGACTGATATACAAGAAGCTGAAATAAATTAAGATAATGAAGAGTCCTATTGATTTATATTCCAATTAGCAATCAAACTTATGAATATATGGGAAATTGGATTATCTCTGAAATAAAACTAGGTTGCAACATTGAGTGAATTAGGCAGAGATTTTACTTACAGATGAGTAAAAGGAAGTACTTATACCATCTTGGGTGTATATATACCTTGGGAGACTATAGGATAGAGGAAACTAGCCCTTGAGATGTCTCCTAGCTATAATTTTATGCTCTTCCAGTCTGATACTCAGGGACAGTCCTACATAAGATGCTGCAGCAGTATTGTAGTGCACAATTCCGGTACCCCAGGATAAGTGGCAGGAAAATTAGGTTCATATTTTAACCCCATTTCTTACCAATTGTGTGGGTTTGAGGAGATTAACCTCTGTATGAACTTTCTTTGATGAAAATACAGTAAAAATTACTTTAAAATCCTTACCATATTATTTGCCACGTAAATAATGTGATATACGTGTCTGTGTCTTTAGTGCAAGGCCAAGCATGGAAACAGTAAAAACTGAATCTGAATGAATAGGGAAGATTGAAACTGTTGAGGGGAGCAACCTGTGTACAGTGTTTGCCTATTGAATGAAAGGTTTTTTGGTGGGTTCTTTATCATGGAATGTGCAGTTTGTGTGAAGAAAGTTTCCCAGACTCCTTTGTGTGGTCTGTGGTTTCCCAGAGTTTGGGTTATACCTCCATTATATAATAGCACCGGTTGTCCTGTGTCTCGATAATATCTTTATGGGCCTCTGGTTTCCAGTAGGTTCTGAAGTTTTCTCTGGAAAGAGAATGTGTCTTTTTTTCATTTTTTAAAAGTTCTCAAGACTTAACACGTAGTAGGTTCTTATTTATTTGTTAAAGGGACGAATGTCACAGATTTTTAAACAGCGCTTATTCTTGAAATCACTGCCGTGAATTTTTTCCAGTCCAGAGAGCAAGCAGCAATTGTTAATTTAAAAAATTTAAAAAAGACAAAACGAAATGAAATGGACAGTAGGTAAAAAAAAAAAAAAAGGTGACTGTTTCTACAGAAACATATCACTGTACTTAGTGACCTTGAACTGAGTCAAAGTCTCTGTGGTTTAATCAATGCAGATGAATAACTCTTTTATAAAAAGACTCAAAAGCCTGTGCTTGCATGAACTGCTGTAAGGATTTTTAAATAGATGTTCAGATTGCCCAGGGAAAGGAACTTCCCCTGATGATTAACCTATGCTCTGGATTTGTTGGCACAAACACTTTTGTAGTAGTTAATGTATATGAGATTTTTTGACAGAGCGTGGATATACAGGGAGTATATACGCCTTGGGAGAAGGCCCTGGCTCACAGTGACGTGCATTAATAATAGACATGGGAGTCAGGTGGAGGGAAATCAGCCCCCGTGCAACCTGCATAACTCAGGGCTTGGTAATGAAATACAGACTATCTTCACTGCTTAAATAGAAATGTTAGGAAAGGTCAGATAATAATTTAATTCATTGAAAAAAGTAAATTACATCAACAACAAAACCTTTTGCTTTGCATAAGTAACTGAAAAGGGTCAAGGTTAAAATAGCAATTAAACTATGCATTATATCTTTAGTGAATAATAAAGTGGCATTGCTTTCAGCATTATTTACTGAAGAAGTAAATGGGTCTGGGAATACAGATGTTGTAGCCAGGCCCCTTAAGATATTAGTACCCCAGCATTTTTAGCAATGCAAATTTCGACTAGGCCCTTGTTTGCTTACACCTGGAAACTGTACTTCCTGCCCTGCACCCCTTGTTCTCACAGTCATTAACTGATGCTGAACTGTTTCCTTGTCCAACAGGAAGAGACAACTCCAGGGTTACAAGGAAAATGTGTGTTTGTTTTGCAGAAGGAATGAATGCCTTTGAGCAAGTTATCTGTGGACATTCAGAGCTCTGGTTGCTCAAGATGTTATCTGAAACTGAAGAAACAGACCCTTGGTTCCCTGAAACCCCCTCCCTTACTTCCCAGCAGCAGAAAACCTCCCTACTTTCCTCTTTGGTAAGATGGATCTGAGAAATCTTGCTCTCCCATCTTCTTGCTTTGGCTAAACTAAGTAAACCTTTCTTTATCTCCAAGCAGTGGTGTCAGAGTGTTTGGCTTTTGCTGCGTTATCAGGTACATAAGCTTGAATTTGGAAGTTCAACAACAATGCCAGCAAACTCAACAAAGTACTTGTTATTGTATAATGTTGGGGCACTTCAGGCCTCAGGACCAGGCCTTGGGAGGTAGAATCTCTCTCTGATCTTCTCCTGTCCTCCTTTTGTGCAGTGTGTGCTGTTTCAGGAATGGGCACGCTTATAGCTCTGACTTGGTCGGTGCAAATGCAATTTATGTAACCAAAGTGTCTGTAATATTCTGAAACAAATAATAAAAAAGAACAAACCTCACTAACAATGTTAGAAGACAAATGGCAGAATAGGAATAAAATGTTATTTATAGAAAAAGACCCAATTCCTTTAAAACAAATAACTTTCCCAAATAAATAGATTAACCCAATTGAAAAATAAGCAAAGACTTAAGCACTGTACACACAAATTGTCAATTTTCAAATAAGAACCATGGAACATTATCTATTTCCCATAAAGTTGACAAATTATTAGAAGGATGTTAGGTAACATATAGAGTTACCAAGTATGTATAAGAAAATGGGAATATTAATACACTATTTGTGAAAAAAATACACTATTTGTGGAAGTAAGCTGGTATAATGTTTGTTGGAACGCAAACTGTGAATTTGAATTAAAATTTTAAAAAAATCATGCCATTTGAACCAAGAATTCCACTTTTACAACTCTCCTGATCTACTGATATGCTTTTGCACATGCACAAAGATTTGTGTGCAAGCATGTTGCAGTGTTTTTTTTGTACATGCAAAGAACTGGACCTAGAATATATACAAGGCTCTGAAAAGTTTTACAGGAAAGAAACCTTCTAAACTTTTTTTTAAAAACTAGCATTTACTAAACTTTGGCTTCTGAATCTTACTTTATAAGAGTAGCAACTTGTTACAGTCCATAGGAAGTAGAATTCTGTAAAACACCCTGGAGAAAATGCTCTTGATTTTTTTTTCCAGCATATTATGGGGGGACAAATATTCAATCTTAAGGGCTAAGCATGGACCAGTGCGGCCGTTTAGAAAAGCTGGGCGCCCTGGACATCAGAGAGACGACTGCTGTCACTCAGCAGCTGTTCTGCAGAGGCTCTCCCAGAAAGGTGGGGCCAGGCAGATGCCAAGGAGGTGGCCCTTGGAGGAGCTGGGCCTGCCATCTGCGCTGCCAGAGACCGCCCTCCTGGGAAGCAAGAGCCGGAAGCTGCTGGCAGAGGGGAGGAAGCCCTTTGCTCCCAGCACCCAGGCCAGAATCCATTGCTTCTGGGGGAGCAGAGGGAACCAGAGTTGTCTACAGCCGAGGGACCAACAGGAGAAACTCTGTCCTGGCCTGGGGGCCTGGGGGAGGGGCAGGATCACTGAGAAAGGCTCACCCTCAAAGAGACCCAGGTGCCCCAGGTCTGTCTAGGTCAGAGGCTGCCTCGGGCGGAAACACCCTCTCTCCTACCAGGAGTGCGGCATCAGGTGGCAAGCGCTGGGCAGGGACAGAGAGGAGACCCCGGTCTGTGGTGCAGGCTGAGGGCTGAGGGAGAGGCAGGAGCACCGAGAGGGACCTCCAGCACCCTAAGGCCGGCGCTAGGCACCAGGCAGCAGCTGCCCACACTCAGAGGAATTCGGATCCCTGCAGCACTGAAGGTAACTAGCACCCAAACCTCAGTTCTGCTCAACTCCTCGCCTGTCTACTCAGTCCCTACCCTCACCCCTCACGGACTGGACACACCCGAGGAATGAAATGCTGAACTCTGAAGACAGGCCAATAGAAATGACCCAACTGGACCCCAACGAGAAGCAAGAGTAGAGAAGAAAGGGCAAGGGGCTCTCCTTCAACGCTGGCTTGGGATCTAAGAATTGAAGATGACGCTGTGAAATTATATTCTAGGTAAATGATTCTACCTTGGCATTGTTTCCTGATTTCTTGCAGCTGTTAACACATTGAAGGATGGCATCAGGTGACCATCCGGTGCCTGGTGTTCCTAACACCCGATGAGAGGAGTTGTAAAGTCCCAGTATGACGGTGACATTGGAAGTTCCTTAAAAACAAAACAGAACCCAGCATGGTGATTGCACGTAAAGAGTTTGGTAACTTTTACCTCTAACCTCTGCTGTGACTGAAACCCTTGCTGAAGAAAGACTGTTTTTTCCACCAAATGTGACTCTATTTGTCTCATTTCCCTTTGCGCTTTTATTATTCAGACAAATCTACCCTATACAAGGGACACGCTTACATATTTTTGTACAGTCATTTTTCTTTATAAGACTGTTTATTTCAGAATCTGTAGCCATTTCTGCCTTTGTTTCCCCTAAATACTTGGCAGCGGGCAAGAAAATTACTCATTTTCTGAGTGATGAAACTAAGGCTGAAGGAGGTTTGTGAATATTTTATGTTAAAGAGACAGGAAAAAAAATAATCCTCTAATGCGTTGTCTTTGACTAAACTGTAAGGCTGCTCAATTTTTTATCTTAGCAACTTATCATTTTTTCCCGGGTCAATGACTACTTGCAGAAAACAGTAAGTCTATATTCACCCAAGGAAAAGATCTGATCTGAATACCAGAATACCGTTGGTACATGTAGAGATATGGCCCTCCCGTTTATAGTTGGTATTTCCACATTAAGATGAAACAGCTGCCAATTCAAAACCACAGCCCTCCAGCAAAGCCCCATGGCATTATAAAAACGCATATACTTCTGGCACTTTCCAGCTGTCAGCCTCACTGCTCACCTTTCTTCTTGCATTTTATTATAGAGATTTTGACCAGCATTTTATAATGTGGAGCAGGAAAGAAATTTCACACGTTCCCTGTCATAAAACATGGTCTCGATTGAGGAGACTGAGGGAAATCAGAGCGGAAGTTTGGTGTCTGGAGAGTATGATTTTGCCTGGAGCAGATCCACACCTGTCATCTCCGCAGGTAGTGGGGTGTGCCAGCTAGCTTTAGCGAGCTGGACGGGCCGGGTTTGACTGACTGCTGGCTCCCCTGTTACCAGCAGTAACACCTTGAGCACGTTATTTGGTAGCAATGAGCCTCAGTTTCTCATATTTGAAACAGGTAATATACACATCTCATTGAGTTGTGGGGAGGGTTATATGAGGTGTTAAATGTATATCTTTTGGTGCAATACTTGGATCAAGTATTTTGTTTTCTTTTCTTTCTTCCTTTTTTTTTGGTGGTGTGGGGGGACAGGGTCTTGCTCCACCGCCTGGGTTAGAATGCAGTGGTATCATCGCAGCTCACAGCAACCTCAAACTCCTGGGTTCAAGCGATCCTCCTGCCTCAGCTTCTCAAGTAGCTGGAACTACAGGCGTGGGCCATAATGCCTGGCTGATTTTTCTGTTTGTTTGTTTGTTTGTTTTTGTAGAGAAGGGGTCTGGTTCTTGCTCAGGCTAGTGGATCAAGTATTTATCTGGTATCGAAGTAAGTAACTGAGTTGGTGGTGTGGCCTAAAGATTAGGCATGCCCATCATGTTATGAACAGTATTTTCCAAGGGGGTGGGATAGACCCAACTGCAGTGGGGAGGATGAGAGCCAGCATGGCTGGGCAGTCTGGTGGCAGGAGGTGGCATTGTGTGGCTGTCCATCAGTCATGGAGAATTCTGGTAGGAGAAGGCAGAGCCCAGACAGGGACTAGCATTCAGGAACATCTGAGTGATGTCTGGAAATCAAGGTAAGAATGAAACAGTGTACTCTAGTCCCCGCTAGAAGGGACTATGTCACCCCCTCATAGGATCCCTCCTTATGTAATTGGTATAAGAGCAAGGGACTGATTAGTTTCCAAAACTGGGGACTGAGATGAAATGTAGGCTGAAGTAGCAATCTTTAAGTCCCTCATAAGGTGAGGAATATGGGACATGGGGCAGGGACGAGACAAAGCTCTGCAGAGAACCAAGCAGGTATTGCAGATTTTGGCCTCATTTACCCAATCTCTGAATAATATTGTGTTTTCTTCTAGAAGCCAATGGGTGGGTTATAACTGGATGGGTTCCACGTAATTTTTGCAACCAAACCTCATTTCAAATGCTGTCTCTTCTTTTTCAGGTCTGTTGTTCTGCCCTTTGGAAACCTCCCGCTGTAGACAGGCCTTTTTCTCCAGTTCTGTGCGGGGATGAACTTGCAGATAACACTTCACCTTTATGGCAGAGAAACAAGGTTTTGCCTGTGTCTTCTCAGGTGCTGTTTGCTTGGGAAGCTGGCTTCCTAAGGGACATTCCAGGAGATCCCCTGCTGCGCTATCCTGGGAGCCTCCTGGAGGCCTAGGGGACAAACTTTGGCTCTCACATCTTTGAAATTCACACAGTTTGCCAGAATTTAAGCTTTTATTTCCACTCCAGGTCCAGTGATCTAGTGTCGCCATCACAGATTCTAAATATGGCTCCAGATATATATGATTACAATGCAAAACACATACGAATATCATGCTAGTCAAGGAAATGTAGGGTTTTTCTGAAGGATAAAAAGGAGATAAATCATGTACGTATCTTATGGTTGCAATAATAGCTACACTGATGTTTATGTCAAATCTCAAAGGAGAACAAATAGCTGAGCTAATGGCGTATAACAAAGAATCTCCCAGTGAGAAATACAATAAAACTTGTTAGTTCAGAATGTAGAGTACCTGGGGAAAAATAGATTTTCGAGTTATCAGGGATAAGCTAATCTGCTGTTTTTTAAATAAGAGGAGAATACAAGTTGCTTTGAATTTAACATGCTTTAATACCAATCACCTATGAAGTTTTACTTTGTAGATGTAAAGTCTCAGTAATGAGAAGATATCTTGGTATATTTATAACGTTTAATTGCAACAGATCTATTATGTGTATGGTTTGTATTATGTCTATAGGTGTGTGTGTGCGTGTGTGTGTGAATATGTTGAGTGTGTTATATGTGTGTGTTTTAAAAAGGGACTGCTGTTCACCTGATTGGATAATTCAATTGAGTCAAATCATGAAACTTTATGTCTAGACTCTATGTATTTCAAAATCACCCTTTTAAATTTGAAAATATAAACTTTGGAGATACTATAAAAGTTGTTTTATAGATTCATTTCATTTTGAATATGAATGATTTAGTTTCCTTGAGTCACACATTTCAAAAGGCTGAAACATGAAATATTAAAAAGAGAAAAATGTTACCCTTACTTCCTTGCAAGTGAGGATACACATTCTAATGGATGGTCTTGGTTTGCAAAAAAGTGTCTCCAAACGCTATCGCTAATAGCTTCAACAAAGGATGCTATGACATCCACATTTCTTTTTGGTGTTCACTGTTCAGCACATTGATGAAGGGTTATAGCGGGTCCTCCCTTGGAATGGTCCTGCGTATGCATGTTCCTTAAATTTATCACACTGGAATTTACTGACAGCTATACTCTATGAATGGAGTCCAAAGTTTTGCTATTGGATAAGCTCTGAAAAGACAATGGGATGGGTTTTTTTTCTCCCTATAGTTCCCTTAGCTGCTTTCAAGTCCTACAGTCACGTTGAATATGTAATGTAAGAAAAATTTTGGGTTAGAAAATCTACTGAGGGACTCGGATGAGCTCAGGAGTGTTCTCAATGCCTGCTCACAAACAGAGCCCAGCCTTTCCTAGTCGAACGTAGTTGGTTCTGTGTTCTCCCAGGAAAGAATCCTAATGCTATATGAGTAACTTTTAATCAAATGACTGAAAAACTTGGAATTTTGGAGGATAATCTTTGGCATAAGCCCGTAAAATCATCTGTATTTTAAAATTTTTAATAATTTTGCTAAGGAATGTCCTGCAGTCACCAATATGGATCACTTTTTCTAGATACTACATGCTCTTTCATTATTGAGATTCAAATTTTGTTTTATTTCAGGAAAAATATTTTTGAGCTATAACTTTAAATATAAATTCTGTTTTTTTTTTTTTTTATTATTTTCATTTTTAGCCACAGGAAGGAGGCTGGGGACCTGGTAATACCCTGAGGTGCACAGTTTAATTGATCATAAAAGCATGTTTCCATCCTCCTCAGCCGTGGGTGTCTGCAGGTATCCACTCTCTGCGTCCAATTCTGAATACTGTTGATTCCCTTCATAAACTACCAGGGAAGCCTCCATTCCAGGGACAGGGTATTGATCTACTTTAATATAATTATTCTGCCTACGATGATCTATACCAGTTCTAATTTTACTTTATATTTGCCGCACCTCCGTGACAGGGGATAGGTACATAGGGCTTCTGAGACACAGATATAAAGCTATTGACTAAAACTTATTCAATATCATCTCTAAAATCATTAATCCATGACAGAGGCATCCTTCTTGAAAAGTTCTAGGATCTTGCAAAACTGGATCAAGCTGCTCCTCTTTCCTGCAGCTCCCTTCACACTCAGTTATACATGTAGCCCTTCACACCTAGCCAGTGGTGTGCTGGTAAATGTTTAACAACGGGCTCGCTGGGAGAAAAACCAAACCAAACCAACAAAAGTCCGTCATTTATAGCTCTTGCCAGTTTCTGTGGTGTAAACCCTCTTGCCACAGCTGATTTCAAGCTACCAATGCGGCATCATGGTACATGGAGTTGGGGAGAGATTCTCACAATTGGCTCTTGCAGGAAGATGAGAGCTGGCTCCAGAACGCCACTGCTCCTAGTCCAAAAGCTTCGCTTTTAACCTCTGCTTTCCTGCTTCAAGTGCTGGAAAACTTTTGAATTTGACGTGATTCAAACTCGATTTCCCCAGGTTCAACTCTGGGGAACCTATCAGCTGGAATGGATCTGCTGTTATTCCGTGGTTGCATATGGGCATGCAATATTATACAGCAGGAACTTAGCTAAAAACATTTCCTCAGCTACTGTCAACAACATGAGTCTGGTGTCAGTCCCAATTATTTTTCCTAGTCAATTCCAGTGGTTCTCAATTAAGGGTGATTTTGCCACTTGGAAAACATTTAGCAATGTCTGGAGACAGTTTGTCACAACTGGGGAGGTGGTGCAGTGGCATCCAATGAGTAGACCAGGCTCTAATGCCAGGCTGAGTCCCCAAGTTGGTTCATCTGGCCATCCTGTGCTCACTGTGTCCATATCTGAAAGAAATTTGGAGAAGGCTTGCCAAAGTATGCCTACTACCTTTAGAGCAGCACCCAACATTTCAACAGGGTATATCCCAGTCCAGTGTAGTCTCAGCACCTTTTTCGTATCTGATAAATTTCCATAGCTTACTTTGTGCTATCTACCACTTGGATAAACTGCATTAGAAGTTCCTGAGATTCCTTAGGCCATTCAGAAAACGTAGAGATGTATTGCACTTCTTGGCTATAAATGCCTCCTGATTTCATTTAGTAATTTTCCTAACCTGAGCATTTAAATGTCTGGTCTTGCTTCTCTGTTCTGCAAAGTCTCCATAATCTAGGAGGCAAGTGCCACACTCTCCTGTGGTCTTTCGCTCACTCAAGACTGACAGCAAGGATCTACACCATTTAAATGACATTTGTGGATTAAATATTATTTTACTTTGAAATAAGTGACTAGGTTCTTCTGGGTTTTCAGGAATCTCTTTTATTTTCCAATCTGAAGATAGTGCCTAGTTTATAGCAGAACGTCTACACACCAATCAGAGCAAAGTAGGAGGGTGGGCCAAAGACGTAGGCACAACACCCAATTAAATGGTCCCATCTTTTCCGACCTGTTCCTTATTGTTAATACTCAGCATTCCTATGATTTCTGTGTATTAAGTCTTCTCTCTTAGACATCCACAACTGTGAGCTGCTGCCGTACACCAGGAGATTCACTTTATGGCAGGTGAGCTGGGCCGTGTTTTTGAATATTTTGGGGGTTTTTATCTCATGGGCAAAAGTAGTTTTGACTTCATGGAATCCCTAAAATGATCTCTAGGATCTCTGTGATCAATTTGGGAACTACTGGTCCAACTCAATTACGTCAGTCATATTTATCTTTCCAGAGATTGGTACAATTTAGGCCAATGAGGTGTGAGGAAAGTTTTGCTGGAGGCTCCTGAGTGAAAGAAGTTTCTTCACACCTACAAAGAGCCATAAGGAGTCAATCTCCTCTCCCTGCCACAGGTGAACCAACCACTATACAGCCTTATTTGCTTCCCATAGCCATCTGTGGCCTGGGGGAAACCAGTTTCAAACTGACTTTAACTCCCTGTGTGGCAGAGGAGAGAAGACACCTCAGTCCTTGAGGATGCCATGTGATTCCTGGTTGGATCTGTATGGAAGCCCTCTCCACCTCTGAACTGGTACAAATTTGAGACACTATCTCAAATAACTAGAGTGGCTTTAGTTGGATTTTTCTCTTACATCCTGCCAAATGCATGGACAATGACATATGTTTTTGTAAAACTTGTATTTTTGTAGATTTCCAGTAGATGACAGAGTGAGTTCCCATAACCCTTCCTGTCTCTTGTGCAAGCATCGAACAATTAAGATAAAAGATAAAAAAGTTAACAGAACTGATAAATGTCTTTATAGACTAGAAACAGAAAGTGAACTTTCTGTTCACTTATAGATAAACATAATGGAAAAATGGATAAATCTCCCCACGGCATAGAAACACCAATGGGGAATGGTTCTAAGGCTAAAGGCTTACTGGATTTTGGGAATGGAAAAACTCCTTGCCGTCACTTTCTAGTGACGGCAAGGAGTTTAACTCTTGTGAGAAATAGGAATAAATACAGCAGAGCCAGATACCTCGTGAAATGGTGGTAGGGTGGTAGAGTTGGGTGTGGCCCTCAAGACAAATTAAAGGCTGAAAAATTTTCAAACGCTTTCAGAAGCTGAAACTGCTAGAGAACTTTTACCAAGGGTGGCTGGATTGAACAGAAATAACTGCATCTCCAGGAAACAGACCAAGCCTGGTAATGGCTTCAAGCCATTCATCTTTGATGTCCTATTTCAGGATTTAAGATTCTGAGATCTTGGGCCACTGCTGGCTTGTGTTTAGGCACCTACAATTCCATGAAATAGGTAAGGGTGAACATAGAAGATTCTTTCATTAGAAAACTCCCACTCAATGTGAATTTTCATATAAAACTTTCAAAGCATATAAGGAATTGTAACCAATATATTCAATAAATCCAACAAGTCTGAAAATCATCTCTGAAGGAAATAAAAATAAAATTCTGTAAAAAATACTTTAAAATATCTTCTGTAAAACAGTGTAAGATATTCAAATGTGTAATCTAATATATACTATCCATAGAAAGAATAGAAGATTATGCAACAAAAATGGTTTGATATGAATTTAAAAAATGCATGTATAAAAAAATTTCAGACTTTAGAAACATATGTAAAACTCTGAGGAAACCATGAAATCATTTCTACTTTTAATTCTTCAAGTGGTTAAACTCAAATACTAAGAAATATTATTTTTATTTCTCTAATTTATCAGATCAGTCTCACAAATGTGCTATTTTTTTTTGGAGACAGAGTCTCACTTTGTTGCCCAGGCTAGAGTGAGTGCCATGGCATCAGCCTAGCTCACAGCAACCTCAAACTCCTGGGCTCAAGTGATCCTCCTGCCTCAGCCTCCCGAGTAGCTGGGACTACAGGCATGCACTACCATTTTTTTCTATATATATTACTTAGCCAATTAATTTCTTTCTATTTATAGTAGAGACGGGGTCTCGCTCTTGCTCAGACTGGTTTCGAACTCCTGACCTCGAGCAATCCGCCTGCCTCGGCCTCCCAAGAGTACTAGGATTACAGGCGTGAGCCACTGCGCCCGGCCACAAATGTGCTATTATCATCTGCAAGTTAGTTTTCTATTCCTTTCTACCATCTTAATTTTTGTTAGATTATCTTTGTCTTCTTAGGGGCAATCCCAATAATAGTAAGTTTGTAGACAACATTTCTTGATTTAGTTATTTTAGCAGCAAAAGCATGGGCCACTCTTATGGGGAGCACTTCCTTTCAAATGGTTTCCGAACGAGGTGAGGAAACCGGGCTTTTTTATCCCATGTTAACCAGTCACCAAATGCAGACTGACCCTGAGGAGTGTGTGTTATCTTGGGAAAGATAGTTCCCTATGTAAGTGTTTGGGTTCAGTTGATTGTGTCAGTCTTTTAAGATTGATTCATATTAACTGAGCAGCACCTAAGTGGTCACATAGGTACTACAGTAATAGGGTATTGGGCAGGGGGGTGGGGGCGGGTATATACATACATAATGAGTGAGATGTGCACCATCTGGGGGATGGTCATGATGGAGACTCAGACTTGTGGGGGGAGGGGAGAAACCTTAAAATCTGTACCCCCATAATATGCAGAAATAAAAAAAGAAGATTAAGTGATTCAGAAATCTCACATTGTCAATGTAAAAGGACTTTACCTAGTCTGTGTCTTTGCATTGATTTTCTAGACAGCTGAACCTCAGGAAAAGATGAGCGTGCTCATTCTCTCCTGTAGACTGACAGCTCAGGGCACTGAGACTGTGGGGAGGGAGGGACAGGAGGCCAGGGGAGGTGTAAAGCAATGGGATGCTGTCTGTGCCCTGCTACACAGCTGACTGCTACGTGATCATGATGGCTATCATTGTGGGGCCTGCCTGAAAAATTTCCACAGAGCAACCACCCCTTGCAGCACTCCATGCAGCAGGAAAAGTAAAGGAAATATATCTGTTCATTTCCCTTCATCTCTGTCTCCCATTGTTGAAGTTCACCCCATAGGAAAGCTAACCAGGCCTCAGATAAATCCTTCTGGAACTCGATTATATGTGTTAGACCAGAGCTGCATTATCTAGTTTTCTAGTGGCAACTCAAGAGACCAGAGTCTACATTTAATTTTTTGGTATTTCTCCTATAACAAAAATGGTTGGGCAACTCAGCTCAAGTGAGAGATTAGCTGAGTGAGAAGAATGAGGCAGTCAAAGAGATCTTAGCAGGCAAACAAAATTTGTGTTTCACTCAGCTTGTTTTAATTCTAAGTGAAGAAACCTTTTCTGTTATTCCCAGATCTGAAAGTTCAGGGCTTTTACAGTTTTGGTATTCAATGTGTTGTTTACTGTAGGATTTTAGTGGATAATCTTTATTGGTTTATGGAAATTTCCTTCTAAGTATGTTACATTTTTCTTTTTGTTTTTAATAAATTGACTGGGTGCTGATTTTTTTGAGTCTTTCTTTATATGTGAAGATAATATCATTTTATTGCTTTTATTTCTTTAATTATATTGATAGAGTTTTTAATTCTAACATTGGATTTCTGGGATAAAGATTGCTTATGGATGGCCTATTTTTAAAAGCACATTGCTGGAATTGAGTTATTAATTTATATTTTTATTTAAGATACTTGTTTCTAAGTTGTAAGCTCAGTCCATCATTGTCTTTTACTATCTTCTTCCATCAGTTGTTTGTATTGAGGTTATATGAGGCTTATGAAAGGGTTTGGGAAACTTTATCTCTAATTTTAGTGTCTGGAATAATTTATATAAAATAATGATTATCCCTGGTAAGGTTAGCAAAATGTTTTTGAACCCTGTGCTTTTTCATAAATAAGGGAGATTTTAAAAAATTGCCAATTCAACTTTTTTCAATAATTACTGGATTAATAAAGTTTTTATGCTTATATTGAAATAAAAAAGTTTATTTTTATAAATAATTTTACATTTTATCTGTTTTCAAACTTATAGAGTTACTCATAAAATTATTCTATAGTTTTATAGCTTAAATATATATGTCTAGTTATGTACTCTTTTATTCTTATATAGTTTATTTTTTACTGATATCTCTTTTTAAATGTATCATACTTGGCATATATTTACAAACCTTTTCAAAAAACATTTTTGGCATAGTTGGGGAAATTTGAATATAGACACTATATTAGTTGATTTACAAAATTATCCTTAATTAGTTTAGCCATAATGACAGTACTGTGGTTATGTAGGAGAGTATCTTTATGTCCAAGAGATGTAAGATCAAGTATTGAGGGATGAAATATCACAATGTATAGAGGAGGGAGAGAGAGAGAGAATGATAGAGCAAGAGATTGAGAGAGCAAGAAAGCGGAAAAGAGAGATTGAGCAAAGGAGGTAGATGTTTACAAAGTTCAATGAAGAATCCAAATTAGTATGTATTTGCAAGGCACTGGCAGAATATTATATGACATCCATAAAACATAAGTGTTTAATATTAATTCATTAAATCTTGGTGGAGGAGTTCCTGGTCATGAAGTACTTGCTTTTGGGCTTGACATTCAGCTTTTTGTCTCCTTGAGTCCATGGAAGCCAGCCCGGAAGAGGAGGCCGTGCCATTGGGCCATGATCTAGAAACGAGCAGGACTCTGGTTCAGGAACTGGAGGAGTTCCCGAGCCACACCAGTCATGGCCACCCCAGGAAGGTCGGGTCACCTGCAGGGGCTTTTGGTTTCATTGTGGGTCAGACGGACTCCCACGCCAGCGAAGCTCAATGAATCTTTTCCATAGGGTAATTTTTGGCTTTTAGCAACAACCTCAAATAACAGTGATTTAAATAAGATAGAGTTTCATTTCTCTCTCATGTAAGTGACACTAGGGTTCCTAGTTTAGGGCCATTTTGGTTGCTTCACAGTCACTGCCATCTTCCTGCTTCATCATTCTCAACATAAACCTTACATTGGACTGTGACAGCTTTGGCTTCAGGATTCACATTCACGTCCCAGGCAGTGGGAAGGAGGAAGAGGCAAAATTGGATATGCCTGCCTTTTAGGATTCTTCTCGAAGACAATTCTGTTCAGATTCCAATGTCCAGCACGTAGTCATATGGCCATCATATTTACCTACAAGGAAAGTTGCAAGTGTAATCTTTAGTCTCAGCTAAAATGCGTGCACAGACAAGAAGAAGGTTCTATCACTAAGGAAGATGGTGAGCACTAATACTGCAGCAAAAGCTAGCAAGTTTCTTCTCAGATTTTTATAGGGCTATGGGGATTAGCTTCTGCCATTTGCTGTATGCTGCCATATTTCTGACGTTGATGGTAATAAAGCATCTTAAGAACCAAAGAGGAAGGAGTTTCTCCCATTTTGGCTGCCCAATCTGGGGCACCTGCTGTGATTTCTTTCAAATGCTTACATGTCATGAGTCTAGAAGCTGCATAAAATCCCTGCTGTCTTGCAAATTGTCAAAAACCTAATGATTACAAACAAGAATGCTTTTCATTTCCTAAGAGGGAATTTAGTTTCCTTACCATCATTTTCTCTTTCTCTAATATTATTATTTTACCTTCTTCAATTTCATTTCTTTCATTTTCCTTTCTGGAGAGCCATTTCCAGTCTCTTTTGTATCCATTTTCTCCATTTGCTCCTGAAAGGCCTTCCCACGCTGAAGTTTTTTCCACTCTCATAGCATGCCATAACATGGAATCCATTTGAGCAACGCTTTATCCAGACCTTTCTGATTATGTCACTATCAGCATCCTCATACTTTCCCTTCCTAATAAAGAATTAAGTGTTTTATGTCTGCTTTAAGTCATTAGTGTTCTTTTGTACTCCCTAGGATAAAAGTGAATGGTTTATGGGAGGAAAAATATGGTCTGTTCTCTGAATAGCTACTGTACTCTTCTCTTCAGATAAAATATGTTCTAAGGTAGACACACAGTTGCAGATTAAAATGTTCCCCCAAGGATTAATACGGATTTAGCAGTCCAGAATTGCAGTGTTGCGTGGCTATTTGTCATGGGTGTTTCTTTCCCCTCATGTCATGTTGGGATGGAGGTTTCTATTACTATTTTTGATGCCATTTGCCCCTATTTCTCATGTTCTCACTGATGAATCACCATGGTAACTAAACAGTGGTGCTACTAATGACTAAATAGGAAAAGGTATTAGAGACCCTGATAATGTGTATGTTGTTTCTTGGCATTTTCTGTAACTCTTGAATGTTATAGTGTCTACATTTAAAAAAAGTAAAAATTTCCCTCAGTGTTAACTCACAGGGAAAATTGAAAATTAATTAATTTTAATTATTTTGTATAAACAGTAAAATTGTAATTTGTGTAGCATTATGCACTTTTTAAAGTGTTCTTATGCCTATTCTCATGTTTCATATTTTTAGAAACATATGACATTGTTATCATCTAACAGGGAAAACAATCTCCCAAGAAATGAAGGAACTTATCCACAGAGTGATTATATGTCTTGGTTTATGCCTGTTTCTCTGGTGTTATTGCCCTTGTTTATTCTCATACGTGTCCAAATTTAGACAATAAATAAGTCACCCTACTTTCCTACTTGGACTGGATCCCAAGCCTCCTAACTTAAAGAATGAGATATAGACACTTTTGGTGTTTGCTTCCCTAGCCTAAGAGTCATGATATTTAATACTAGTTGGAGAGAATTCCTATGGACATAACTACAGGTTGGTGTGTCTTATTCAAACACAGATTTATGAATAAATCAGAAATCCCTTAGCAAAATATTTAAATACCTCCACTTTCCAGCTTGATCTAATTTCCAGCTATAGTCAGCATTAACCCTACTTATTCTTTTGTTAGGTTCATTTATACTACATTACTTGCTCCAACCAAAACATACACTGTGTTTTTTCTTATCCATAAATTCATATTTCCAGGAATGTCTTCTAAAATATGTGCTGGAAAGCTTCCATGTTTTCTTTGAATCCAAAAGTTGGGGGAAGAAATAGGTCTTGATGTCCCAACAAAAGAACAACCCATCACATTCTAGTCAATGGGATAAGAGAGAAGAAAGGTTCCAGTGAGATCTTCTCCCAGGCTTCAAAGGGCTCTGCCAGGTTCTAGAGATTGCTCAGTCCTGGTTGAAAATGAAGAGGCAACTCCAAATATTCTCTTGGCTGAGTACATTGAAAGAGTGGCAGGACTGAGTCTGTAAGCAATCGTGATCGAAACTTGGCCTGGGAGGTTGAAGAAAGGCCCTGAAATGTGTCCACATCTCAATCTCTGGAGTTTTATCTTATTCTGCAAAAGGGATGTTGCAGATATGATTGAGTTAAGGATCTAGAGATGGGGAGATCATCCTGGATTGTTTATGTAATCATGATGCAGGAAGAGCTAGAGTTAGAGGAGAAGGCAATGTGGTGATGGAGGCAGGGATTGGAGCGATGCACTTTGAAAATGGAGGAAGGGGCCACATGCCAAGGAATACAGGCAGCCAATGGGAACTGAAAAAGGCAAGGAAAGCATTCTCCCTGAAGAATACAGAAGTAACCAGTGAGGCTGACAACTTGGCATTAATCCTGTGAGACCATGTTAGACTTCGGACCTCCAGAAAAGTAAGAGAATAAATTTGTGTTAGTTTAATACGTTAACTGCCATGTGAGTTGTATTTAACTCATGCTAGTTTTGAGCCTGGGCCTCGTGAAGCACATAGAACTCACATCTCTTTACCTTGGGAGCCATGTGGTACACAGACAACTCATGCTGCCATGCTGTACCACACATGTTACCTCATGGGTGGCCCCCTGGGCAAAATCTTGCAGCTGGTTCCAGAAAATCTTACTTGTTGCTATTCTTATTGTTACAAATTAATATTGAAAATTTAATTCTAAAAACATGGATTAAATGAATAGAAGTCAATAAATTTTGTTTTTCTATTTATGTTCACCTTTAAATTATACTTAAGCCTGAGAAGTCAAGTAAAACACTTTAACCTTATGAACTATTTTTCAAGTTTTCATATTACTTTTTACATGACTAATTTTCAAGTTTTTATATTACTTTTTTAAAAAAACAGAAAACAGTGATAAATTATTCATTAAATTAGAAAAGATTGTTTTGTTTTCAAAGTTTTTATTCTATTTTCATAATAAAACACCATGGCCCCAAGGAAAAAATTTTTTTAGTGTGGCATTCATTGCGTTAAACCACCAATTTATGGTAATTTGTAACAGCGGCAACAGGAAACTAATATATTTGATCGGGACAGAAATGGTGTCTGTAGCAAAGACAATATCCTAGAATAGCAAGATATTGAAGAACAAGCTCTTTTTCTTTGAACGACAAAGCCATGATGTCTTGGATGTTGATTATTTTTCTCTCTCCTTGGATTTCGAATTGAGGGCCATTGGTGACACTCAGAAGACAGTCGCCATAGCTGTCCTCACTAGAGCAGCTTCTTGTCGAGTTCCTAAAGGACCATCACAGGCTGGCTCCTTAATGCATGTCACCTTCCACATTATACCCCGAACCTAGGCATTGTTTTAAGATGAGAAAGTGAGGCATGCAACAGTAATGTAACTTGACATAGGCTTCACAGCCAATAAAGAGCAACGCATGGATTCTTATCCATTCTTACACTTAAAAACATTTGAACGTCTTCACAAAAGGGCTGGTTTTAAAATTATCTGTTAAGACAATTTGTTTTATGTATTCCATACAGATGGAGAGACCACAGGAGGTGAGACGATGCATTGGCAGGTATCCGGGGCCAGCAGTATGGGTGGATCAAGCTCAACTCCCTCTCTCCACCAGTGAGCGGGCATATTCCATGGCAAAGGCAGAGAAAAACAGTGCTGGAAGGTGAGACTCAGCTGTGCACACCTTTTGATTTCTACTCTTGTCTTGGGCTTTCCTTCCTAGAACTCTAAGTAGCTATATGATAAGACAGACCTGCAACCAGCTCTGGCCTGGGAAGAAGGAAAACCCTTCTTGCCCTAATGAGGCTTGGGGGGTGGGGGGGGTTGGTGAATTAGGCCAGTTCTGCAGTGAATGTGTAGAGAAGATTATTTAGAACTTAAGATTCTGATCCTAAACACAGTGGCGACAGGGAGAAGGGCACTGTTAATGTGAGGAGAGTCGATAGGAAAGTTTAATGGAGGGGCGGAACTGAATGATTAAATAGCAGATGTTAAGAGCAGTAATGGACCTGGAGGGTCCTTTTGCCCATGTGGGCCCTGAGCTTGAGCAAGTGGCACCTAGTCTCCTGAACTCCTATGGTGGCTTTGGGCAGAGGTGGCTCTCATCCTGGCATCCCAAACTCAGGCCACTGCTGTTCCCAAAGTGCCGTGACTCGTGCTAGGAAAAGATTTTGTCTTGAAGAAGGTTGAGCCTTTCCAGATAAGTAGGAAAAGCAGGAAGAAAGGCCATCACCCAGGATGACATGTGTGTTTTTGAAGGACCTGTGGAATGGGTCTGTTGGGAAGTCCGGGAAAGTGAGGTTGGATAGATGGGACAGGGCTCCTCTTACTGGAAGTATCACGTATTGGTTTATTATCCCCAGGAAGGGTACTTTTATTATCTTAAGCCTTATTTCTGGAAGACTAGCATCATCTTACACCAATGTAGTGCTTTAAAATGCAAGTGGATTTCAATATGTAAAATTAATAATAATTGCTACAATTTATAAGGGCCTGGCTGTCTATGGAAAGTATAGTAGTTTGTGCTGTCCATATATTATCTAATGAAATCCTCAAAACAACTTTGTGAGTTGGATAATGTCATCTCTTTTTTACAAAGGAGAAAAGTGAGGTCCATTTAATCTTCTTAACAACCCTTGTTTTTCAAAGCATGTAGCAGATCATTTGCTTAGAATAATGTGACAAATACCTAGCAAAGGTAAGATGTGGACATGGATTACCAGCCACTAAGTGGCTGGCAATGAATTTCTTTCATTGCTACATAACCTCAAACATATTCCAAGGACAAAAGCAGAAGGGCAGGAACAGGCTCTGGCTTTGGAGGACCCAGGTTTGGATGTTAGATCTGCTATTCCCCAGCTGTAGACCTGGGCAAACTAATTCACCTTTCTCAGTCCCAATTTGCTAATCTGTTAAAACATAAATGGATTATTGGAAGAATTAAGTCCTATAAAGCATTCAAAGTGCCTGGCACAAGGTATGTGCATGATAAAAGTAAGCTCTTCAACTTCATCTTATTTTTATTTATATCTGAGGACAACTTTGAGTCTAATTCAAGGTGAAATAAATCCATTAAGGATGACTCAAAAAGGACCTGAAAAAGATTGCTTTGTATTTTCAAGTACCTTGGAATAATTTATCAGGTTTCAGTTGTCTCTTTCCACAGCAACAGGCTTGCATGTATATATTATTTTAAAAATAGAATTAGATCACACCCACATGTAAGGTAAAATGTTTATATCTCTCTTCTCTTGTCCAATTCATTTCTGAAATACAGTTTTCAGGTAGAAAATTTGGGGAAAGGCTCTTAGGTCTCAGTGATAAATAATGGCAGCCTAAGATGCAAGGATGCTTGTGTTGGTTAAACTCAGATTTGCCAAGTAGGTTGTGAAATAAAAATATAGGAGCAATGTTTTAAGTAAAATGCTCCAACAGCTTTTGAAGTGTATTGAAATGCATAGTTGCCTGGGAATTTTCAAGACTAGTTAAGGTTTCAAAAATGAATGTTTCTTCACTTCCAAGGAAATGCAATATGTTATCATTATAAAACAACTGGCAAAATAAAAAGGAAGAAAAATGTGTGTGTGCATGTGTGTATATATTAAGATAACAAATTCCATTTCATTAACTGGGGTGTACAAAGCAATTTGGTATTTATTCCTTTATAAGGGTTCTGATTTTCCTCGTGAGCTCCCCTCTACCCACCACTCAAATGGGTAAAGGGGGGGCGAGTAAGAAGGGAATAATTATATTTATTCCAAATTTGTAATTATTTCCAATAATTTAAACTGCCTTTTAAAGAAAATTAGTTGCTGTTGGGATGGCTTCGGTAAATGATTATTCTTGTGATTGCCTTTTCCAAGATCACCCTAGCAGTGTGGGGAGTGGTGATTTGGATGATATGACTGTGATTACAGAAGAAGTGGGTTCCTTGGATCTACACAATGTTTTGGGGATTATTTTGTGTGACTGCCATGCAGTGGCCAGCCAGGACTGATCCCTCCCTGGTGACTTTTGTAGTATCACTGGTTCCATCTGACTTTCTGAGGGGATGTGGTGACCATACCCACTATAGTCAACAGTCGTCTTTTCTTGCCTGTGGTTTCAAATTCCCCACATCATGGTGTGTGTGTGTGTGGTTGCCTTTGTTTGAACCCAGGCTTCTTCTGGCCTGCCACCTTTGTACCTTCATAGAGTCAGGGACACATCTGGGACCCTCTCAGGTGCATTCGCATGTGGAACTGAAGAGCACGACCCCAGTCCTGTCCGTCTGCTACAGCACAGGCTCATACCGCGTTAGCACTGGCCACATCAAGGAATTTTGCAAGAGAATCACGTAAACTATGCTGCTGCTATCAGACTTCCTAAACTTTCCCTGCATATCTGGATGTGTTTCAATGAACGCCTCTGTTTTAGTCTGTTCAGGCTACCATAACAGAATACCATAGACTGGGTGGCTTTCAAGCAAGAGCGATTTATTTCTCACAGTTCTAAAGCTTGGGAAGTCCAGCCTCAAGGTGTCAGCTGATTTGGTGTCTGGTGAGGGCCTGCTTCCTTGTTCATAGATGGACATTTTTTCCCCTGTGTCCTCACATAGCAGAAGGAGAAAGGGAGCTCTCTGGGCCTCTTTTGTAAGAGCACTAATTCTATTTGTGAAGACTCCATCCTCATGACCTAATCACCTTGCAAAGGTCCCACCTCCAAACACCATCACCTTGGCAGTTAGAATTTTTAACATCTGAATGGGGGGGCACCAACATAGTCCATGACAACCTCCTCCTCACTGTCACTTCCTTGTGTGGTGTTGGAGGTAATGAGAAATGGCTCTTCACAGCCCTTTCCTTCTCTGTCCTCCTCATCTTTATACAATCCAACTGAGTCAAAGGGAAGGGTTTTTTTTCTTCTCTTAGTTGTTCCTCTTATCTAATTTTGTCCTCCTCAAGTCAATTTTTCCTTCTTCCTAAATCCAGACTCAAAACTAAATTAATACTAGATAGGGTGTAGAGAGTGAGAAACCTATTTATTGATAAGGGAACAGGAAGCATATACAAATATTTTACCTGATCTGTATTTTTCTTTTATCTCTCTCTCTTTTTTTTTTTTTAGTAGCTGGGACTACAGGCATGCGCCACCATGCCCGGCTAATTTTTTGTATATATATTTTTAGTTGGTCAATTAATTTATTTCTATTTTTGGTAGAGACGGGGTCTCGCTCAGGCTGGTCTCGAACTCCTAACCTTGAGCAATCCGCCCGCCTCGGCCTCCCAAAGTGCTAGGATTACAGGCGTGAGCCACCACGCCTGGCCCTCTTTTATCTCTTTTATTGTTCCTAGAACAAATATAACAAACAATAATGTGGACCTATATAATGCAAGACAAAGCACTAATTTACTTCATAAATAAGTCTAGAGAGATTTCATGTTTCTAAATTCTGAAAATGCTGGAATATTTGCAGAGTCATATTTTACATCATACAAAATTCTCCATTGACTAAAGAATTCCCTGTGGGACACAGACCCAATATGTTTATGGGATTTCTTGGTGGTAGAGAAATTTCTAAGCCTAAAATTAGAAGTAGAAAATCATATAGGAATCATATATCACATAGGAATTATTGGTACATTTGATCATGTAAAAATCCACATAACCTAAAACACCAATAAATTTGAGACAAATTACAAACTGGCAAAATACTACTGTAAAATCTTTGGCAAAGGAATATTTTAAAAATCTTATAATAAGTCTTTATCAATAATAGACTAAAACTCAGTGGAAAATTAGTAACAATTATAATCAGGGAATTAACAAAATAAGACAAAAATATATTCATGAAATCTTGTTCAATCTTGCTAAAACAAATAAAATTCCATTAATTCCAAGATATTCTAGATTCCAATGTCAAACAGGCCAAGATTTCTCTTAGCCATTGTCATCCTTCTATGTTGCTGGGTGTGACCTTTTCTAGATAGCATCATGCTGTCTAAACATGCTTACATCATTTTCACCACTTTCATTTCTACAAATTTTATCTAAGGAAATTATTTGAAATATGTACAAACTTTTTTCTCATTTCTATTCCTCGCAACATTTAAAAATAATCCCAAACTGGAAATATCTAAATTGTCAAATATTGAGCTTGATTAGATAGATACATCCATATAATGGAATGCCATTAGACATTAAAAATGCTGTTGTAGAAATACCAACATGCTAACACTACCTTGTTTAGGTGAAGAAAAGAGGTTATAAAAAGATATATTTGAAATATATAGGTATATATGTATGTGTGTGTCATATATGTTAAAATAGCATCTTGTCATGTCCCTCCTGACTGTGTCCCAAAGCTGCTACTTCTGTCAGTGCACTGAAAGTTACATGTGAGCTTAGTCATGTTAGTCTTTTTTATTTGGTTTGACTGGTGTTTCCCTGGACCAGAGGTCTAAGCTGCCTGCAATGCTAATTCTAGCTACCAGCTCTGCCACTGTGAAGTCATTAGGAGGAGGGCATCTGAAGGGTGGCAAAGGCTTGGCTTGGGTGTCTCCCCACCTGCAATAATGATGAAGAGGCTGTGCTTGCCCTTGATAAGCTCAAAGCTCACTGCTGCCCTAGGTCAATTTACCTCTGCAGTCGGAGCTGGGCAGCCTGCCTCAGACATGATAGATA